TTAACACATAACAGTATAACATCAATAAGAAAACATTTTGTACCTATTTAGTTGCAAATAAAGAATTTGAATTTGAATTTGAATTTGAAACGTACAGTGGTGGACCGCCAAGCATCCAGATGATGTGGATGATATCGCGACTTTTGCCGCGTAGTGCGTTCACGAAATTTGGCGGCTGTGATTAATCCGAACAATTCCTCAGAGCACTCTCCATTATATGCGAAAGAAAATTCAAAGAGATGCAACATCTCTTCGCAGTGCCAGTGAATCGAGCCGATCGGAAAACACTCGGTCGTCGACGATTCGAGCCGCTCTGCGCTGGATGCGGTCAAGTGGAAGGAGCTGGTACTGGGGAGCCCCAGCCCAGAGACGGGAACAGTATTCCATGTGCGGCCGAACCTGCGCCTTGTAAAGTTGCAGGCGGTGTGCCGGCATGAAATACTGTCCCGCTCTGCTGAGCATGCCAAACTTTTTAGACGCCAATTTGGCCTTCTTTTCCAAGTGACCACGAAACTGCACGTCACTCGATATGTCGACGCCGAGGATTCCGATACTGACTGAGGCTACTAGGGGAGTGCCTTGAAACTGAGGAGATACGACAAAGGGGTTCTTTTTAGCGGTTAACGCGCAAACTTGTGTCTTCTGGGGGTTAAACTGGACTAGATTTAATCGCCCCCAATCCGAGACTCTGTTCAGCAAAGACTCGACTTCAGACACAAGTTTGTCCCGGCACTCGGAGATGTTTTCCCGAGAAATATTGGCTCGGCCGGTGTAAAGAACATCACCAGTGCTGTCATCTGCATAGCAATGAATGTTAAGGGTTTTCAACATATCATTGATATGCAGAAGAAACAGCGTTGGTGATAGTACGCAGCCTTGTGGAACACCAGCATTAATAGGCTTGCAATCGGAGCTTGCACCGTCTACAACGACCTAGATGCCCCGATCTGCAAGAAAGCTGGTGATCCAATCGCACAATTTCTCGGGAAGCCCATAGGAAGGGAGCTTCGAAAGAAGTGCTTTGTGCCAAACCCGATCGAAAGCCTTCGCAATGTCCAAACTAACGGCCAATGCCTCCCCCTTGGACTCTACTGCCTCCGCCCATCTATGAGTTAGGTAGACCAGAAGATCACCAGCTGACCGACCACGGCGAAAACTGTATTGGCGGTCCCTAATCAGCTGGTGATCCTCAAGGTACCTCATAAGCTGGCAGTTTACAATGGACTCCATTGTTTTGGAGAACAAGGAGGTGATGGCGATAGGCCGGTAGTTGGACGGGTCTGAGCGGTCGCCTTTCATAGGGATCGGGTGGACGAAAGCCGTCTTCCATGATTTTGGGACTACGCCTAGGGAGTAGGAGTACCGGAAAAGACGCGTTAAAACCGGTGCCAACTCTGGAGCACACGTCCTCAGCACAATTGGGGGGATTCCGTCAGGCCCACTCGACTTGTGGATGTCCAGGAAGAGGAGTGCTTTGCGAACCGAGCGCTGTGTGAACTGCACTTCCGGCATGGAGCACTCGCACCGCGGGATGGTCGGCGGCGTACTCCCCCGTCATCGAGAGTCGAGTTGGACGCAAAGAAAGAGCCTAGAAAATCGGCTTTCTCCTTTGCGGTATGGGCCAGTGAGTCGTCCTCCCTGTGCAGAGATGGAAAAGATGACTGACATAAATTCCCCTGGACAGCCTTGGCGAGAGACCAGAATGCACGGGTTCCAGAAGGAAGGCGGACTAGTTTCTCGCCAATTCTGCCTATGTGCTCTGACTTTACCTTGGCAATGACTCTTTTGAAGGACCTAGAGGCGGAATTATACTTCTTTTTTAGAGCGCTGGTGTTTACATCCCGGGACGCTGATGCGTCAGCCCAGGCTTGGTAGCACTCCTGCTTATAGCATGATGCTATTTTACAGGAGCGACCAAACCATGGCTGAGATTTGCCTCCAATGGGCACCACAGAGGAAGGAATAAAAAGTTCCATACCCTGAAATATCACATCAGTAACAGAATCCGCAACAACGTTGGGATCGTCCGGCGAGAAGCAAACCCGCCCCCAAGGGTAGGATGCAAAGAAAGACCACATCCCATCCCAATCGGCTGACCTATAGTGCCAAACACGGCGGCAGCCTGCAGATTGCAACTGCGATTTCAGCGTCCGAGGAGCCTAAAGGGGCGTCAACGGAAATCTGATATCCGTCCGGGTGAGAGGTCAGCAGAAGGTCCAACAGGGAAGGTGCATGATCCTTCACATCTGGAATCCACGTAGGCGAAGTAATCAGTTGTGTCAGACCATATGCCAAGGCAAAATCATGAACAGATCTCCCCGCATGATCGGTTAAACGTGAATTAAGCCATTCGGCGTGATGGGCGTTAAAGTCGCCGAGGATCACGATCTCTGCGGAGGGGATCTGCTGTAGCAACGAATCTGTAGCCATTTGGACGTGGTCGAAGAGTCGGTCTGTTTCGGCATTTCCGCTATGGGACCTATAGAGGCACCCGTAGACGCGCGGATGGTCGTCGCTGTCTACGCGTAGCCAAAGGATGGACAGGTCCGAACCTTCAAATCTGCCGAGGCGTCGAGAACAGATGTCCTCTCTGACGTAAACGCAAACTCCAGCCCGAGGCACAAAGGAGTGTTCCAGTTTGTACCCCGGGTAGGAGAGATACGAGACATCAGCCGGAGGGGACACCTGCGTCTCGGTCAGAAAGAGCAGAGCCGGCCTCGCCGTCTCGAGATGGTAGTGGACGGCGTTTATAACAGAAATTCACGGACAGCGTGGCAGGGATCGCCTTGGTTTTGTTGCTTGCTTGAGTACTTAAAAGATAGAAATAACGTTTATTGCATACTCGCCACCAGCATAATTGGACACTTTAATCAAAATATCTATATAAACATCTATTGAGGTATAAAAAAATAAAAAAAATAAAAAATTTAGCAATTGGTACTTAAATCAAAAATATATTTACAAATTAGATTTAGAATAAGGTACATTAAAAATTAAACAACCCTCTCAGAACTGAGAGGAGGCCTGTGCTCAGCAGTGAGACGTATATAGGCTGTAACTTTACTTTACTTTACATTAAAAATAAGAGTATTTGCACAGACACAACCTAGTCTCCAGGATCATAAGGTCTAGTAGATCGGAAACTGACTAACTATAAGTACACGCTGGAAACCGTGCTCGAAAATTAGCCCGCCAGGCTCTACTTGAACCAGCTTGATCATCACAGTCAGGACTATTCTTGCGAGTAAGCCTGATATTGTATTAGATGGATCATGCATAGTGAAGGATATTTTTGGTAGACATTATTATTCCAGCAGTTTTCCTGGCTCATGAGGTGGTGTCATCTGAGGCGACTACATGGTGGACCGATCCGGGGCCGTATTCAAATGGCGGTGCTCCTCGATACTGCGTCGTCCGCTTTTTTCTTTTCGTCCTAACCCTCAACCGGTTTGGTCTCCCATTCCGAGGGCGTCCGTCCGGTTGCGTTTTACCTATTTATTTAATTATATTTTATTGTATTTATTATATTAATAATATATTATTCTACTACTTCTAAGTATCATATTTGAGTTTATAATATATTGTAATTATATATTTTATAATCTATTATATTGTATATAAGATTTATATATGTAAGACTGACTGACTCATCACGATATCTCTAAAACTATACACCCGATTAACTTGAAACTTACTACAGTTACTAATTTTGCACTAAAAACGATTTTTACGATAGTTCCATAAAAAAGTTCTTGAGTTTTTATATCTACGTTAATATCGTCTATAACCGTGCGCCCAGGGAAGCGAGCGGGTATCAACTAGTTACTTATACGTTCTAACCATATATATATATATATATAATACTATAAGAATACCCCAAAATAATATATATTGTGAAATATCTCGTATCCCTCATCTTATCCCGCTACCGCCTCCGCCACGTTACCGTCTACACAAATGTACGAAGTATTCCCAACAGCCAGAACGTGATTGGTTCTTTAATTGAGTTTATTTATTATATTCATCTGGCAACACCGAATAGAAGGGACAAATTCGCTCCACCGCAACCTTTCATCTGTCACCGTAAAATCTAAATATATTTTTTTTCATTAGCACTTTGAAAGTCAATTTATAATGTATATATATGTGGGCGTATGTATGTTTGTATGTGTGTATTTATGTGAAGAGTACTTGATTATTTTTTCTTTTCTTTTCTCTCCTCTTTTCCTCAAAAGGTTTATACGTGGTTTAGCCACGCTGCAGTTATATTATGGTTGTAACATGAATAGGTTAGCTCGATTGGGGAAGGACCACGCTCTTACAGAACAACAGCGTAAAATAGCAACTTAATGCCGCTGTGGTAGTACAGCAGGCACACGCTCGACTGTGGCCGGCTTCACTGCAACACTTGCTTGACATGCTGAAGCTCGGCGGCCAGATGTTTTCTGTCACAGATCCCTCGTGTTCTCTGAAACAAAGATTTACCCATGGTAGCTAACTGTGAAGGATGACGGTGAGATTCACCATTTAAATATCAGTTGGTATGGTTAATACCGCTGCGTTTCGTATGGTGAGTGTAGAGAACCGGAGACCCATTTTACTGGAATCGAGGCATTCCATCATAGTCCTCAGGGGTGAAAACGCATCTGTATTTTGATTCTTAATCGAGGTTGAATGTAGATGTCTATGGGCCACAGCATCCACTTACCATCAGATGGGCTTGTTTGTCACCCTTATGCCATTAAAAAGGTTCTCTGATTCTTTATATTCACTATACGAAACATATTAGAATTATGCTTTTATTTTTTGCTGATATTCTGTGAGAGCGTAGACTCGCCGAGATCGAGCCGACCAGTACATGCTACAACCATAACATAGCTGTAGCGCAGCTCTACCACGTATTAGAATAAAAAGCGTTAATATATTTAAAAATCATATTTTTTCCTAGAAATGGATTTTTGTTCATGCAGACGCATAATAAATTAAGTTAGACTCGAACTATGAAAGAAGAAGAAGGTGTGTCTAGAATGGTAAAGAGGAGACAGTTATCTTTTAAAATATTACAGAAGTAGCATGAATACTTAATGTTTTATGACAAAGCTCGGAAAGTTTAACTAATTAATATGCAAATAGATTATTAAAGATGTGAAAATTAACGAGGTAAATTCCACCTGAAGTATTATTTTTCGTATAGTTTAATGATAAAAATATTAATACTTTACTTACCAACAAAATATGTAATATTAACAAAATATCTCGTCAAACTGAGATCAGTTTATCAGCACACTACCTAACTAATTACTAATTACAAAATATTATATAAACAAAACCAATTAAACAATGAACTTAGTTATATATAGCTTAGTTACGTACTTTACATATAGCTTAGTTACAAAATACTTTATAGTAGTATACAAAATACTGGTGAAAACTAATTTACGTATTTTATTTTAGGCTATTTATTTTTGGTCCTATTAACGCGGAATGAACTTCTAGTATCTTGAAATCTTGCAGTAGTATGCTTGGATTGGAATTTAATTTTATTAGTTGTAGAAGTGTAACCAACATTGGTGCCGTAAAACACCCAAAACGTCGGGAATATAAGATAAGTTACACAATAAAATCCGTAAAAACTTGTATCATTTTAATGTATAGGATATCCGTAAATATAAAAAATCAGGAATACATTAACTAATTGCTTTCGATCGATTGCTTTCAGCAGAAACACCCACACGTGATCTTCGAAGCGCGTACCAAGGCGAACAAGGGCTGCGCCAACAAACTCGAGTTCCGGCCGAAGAGCAGACGCACGAAACACGTGTCATTCGTCGAGGAACCGCTCGGTGATGATCCTAGAAACACGTAAGTTATAACTAATTATACTCTAATTATATATATTTTTTACTAGAGATGATCTGGAAGATGTAGTTCTGCCCTTTCCTAGGTCGATGAGTCACTCGAAATTCACTCCAGAATTTTCAATGTGGAAATAAAAATTAACTTAATAACTCGACGGTGCCTAGGTTGCGTTAATTTCTTTTCGAGAACTAAATTCAAATTCAAATTGAAAATATTTATTGCAACTTAAGTCATATTTCGACGTACTTGGTTTTAACTTATAATATAACGTGTTTACTTACAACTTAACCACCCTTTTCGGGTATTACAATATTTGTTATATTTATTAGGCCTGTGCCTAACATAAGTTACATACTGAGTAAAATTGTTAGTTATAAGAATTAAGCAATTAATCAAAATAAACCAACACTCATTTCAAATATTTTTATAGAATAAAGGTGACAAACGAGCACACATTCCACCTGATGGTAAGTGGATGCTGTGGCCCATAGACATCTACATTCGATTAAGAATCAAAATACAGATGCGTTGTCACCCCTGAGGACTAAGATGAATACCTCGATTCCAGTAAAACGGGTCTCCGGTCACATTCACCATATGAAATACAACAGCATTAAGCTGCTATTTTACGCTGGTTTTCTGTGACAGTGTGGTCCTTCTCCTGTCAAGCCGACCCATTCATGCTACAACCATAATATAAATGCAGCGTGGCTCTACCACGTAAAGTGTGTCACGTATGTGTCATCTTGGTTCATAAAATACAGAATTCGTTAATTACTTGACTACATCACCACCAATTAGAACCTAGAAGCTGCAAACCATTATCACGATAAAAGAAATATATTGTGTTGTTGTGAAGTCGTTCAGAAATTACACGATCACTAACAGATGCACCAATGATCGGTCGGCTAGACTAATAAAGGACAACGCTTGCAGTGAGTGAGAACGGTAGACCCCTTCACTCGCAAGACATTCTATCAAAGACCCCAAGGCTGACAACGCTTTTTTATCTTGATTCTCGAATGGTTCTTTGGTTATAGTGGTCGTAAATGCGGTAGCTGATCGTGAGGTCACGGATTTGAATCCCAGGTTGGGCCAAAAATCAGTTATCGGGTTTTACTATCAAGAAATTCTCAGTAGATGCCCGGAGGAGTTGGCCGTGTTTCACGCCATTGCTTCGAAGATTACGTAAAGCCGTTGGTACTGCGCCTGCTCTCTCTTCGGTTGCATCTCGTGCTATATTACCGTCCCATCAAACTACTAAAGTGAGGGAATAGAGAGTGCACCTGTGCTTTCACATACACTTGGTCACTGTAATTCCGTCCTGCGCCGATGACTAGGCTCCGTTGAGACTGTACTCAATGATCGAAATTTACAATAGTCTGGACGACATTATTTATTATTTTGATTTTTAATCGAGGATAGATGTAGGTGTTGTCAACTTTACTTCTTCAAAAAAGAACACAATTTTGGAATAGCTTATTTTACTCTCAACTAAATTCAAATGAAGTACCGGCCTATGCCAAGTGGTATAATGCTGCCATTTAGTATTCATAAAACCAACTTTTGAAAAATAGCTCGCTGAAAGCATTAAAACCGAAGTGACCCTACAAAGTGAGTGGGCCGTTCATTCAATGATGTTATTCAATTTGTTGGCACAAATCTCTCATGTCAAAGCTTTTATTTTCCAGTGACATTTAACAAAATCTGTATAAAGTGTATTTTTAAATAGATAAACTAACTTTTTAAATAGATACAAATAAAAAAACTAACAGTCAAGCGGATGTTAAGTGGCTGGTGTATCCATGGGTGCTTGCAATTCTTTTTTATACAAGAGGGGCCAAACGAGCATGCGGCTCACCTGATGGTAAGTGACTATCGCCGCTCATGAACAACCGCAACACCAGGGGAATTGCAAGTGTGTTACCAGCCTTTTAGATAGGAGTAAGCTCTTTTCTTCTAGGTTTCTAAGTCGTATCGGTCCGAAAAATTCGCCGGTGGTAAGCAATTTCACAGAGAATTTGTACGAGGAAGATTTCTCATAATAAATAATCGTTTATTTAGATTATATTGTTAATCGAGTACATTTTTTTTTAATTTTCGTTTATTTTGCATATGTGCTAATTTAATATAAAATTATTATTAGCGCCGCTTCGCACAGCATGATATCGAAGCCACAATAACAGGTGTACGGATTGCAGTACAGTTCAGTTGAACATAGTGAGTGTTCGGAATGCGACATCTAGTGCGTTAGCCTGTCAAACATGACAACTATACAACATGTAACAAAAACCTTGTGGTTCCCGTTAAGCACGTTATCAGAATCAGTATCCAAGCGTATAGAAGTATTTTTTTTTTCAAAAAAACACATTTAAAAAAATTAATTTTAATGAAAAAAAAAATCATTTGCTAATTGTATGTGGTTTTATTTCCTCTAACTCACACGAGTATCGGTAATGCGGGGTCTTTGACAATCCTCTTACTCCTCGGCCTATGCAGAGATAATAAAACCTGTGGGATTTTTGTTACATGTTGTATATCCCTCTTAGGAAGCAATTTATAGGGAAAGTCTATGTTCAGGCATGAACTTTTGATAGGCTGTAATAATGATGATGAGGAATTAATTACATCGATAGTATTTACTAGATCTTTTGTTATATTTCCAAGGTATCGGTAAAGTTTCACCACTCTTACTTCATTTTATTACGAAATGGAACAAGTTACAAGGCTGCATTACATATGCATTTATTTCACAAATACAAATCGAATGTTATTAGCCATGTTTTTATTTTCTAACTATGACAAGGTATTGGTTTTAGTATTATTTTTATTTTTAGTTCTCAAAAACAATTTCACTTAGGTAAATCATCAAACAAACTCAAATATTTTATTGGTAAAACATAGGTTAAAAGCTACAAACTTGGTGTAAAAGGTATAATTATAAGTAACCCTATGTTTCACCTTAAAAGGCATACAAATATTAGTTATCATCATCACCTGGCATGAAAATGAAAAAATTACATAAACTATTATTTTTATTATCCATTACATAATTGGTAATAACATAAAGAAAAAAATATATAAAATAATTCGAATATTAATTGTAGGTACTCAAAACCATTCATTTTTACATGAAAATATTCGTTGATAGAGTAGTATCATTTTTGTTGTAACAATTTTAGATGGGGTATACAGATTATGAAAAACATAAACATTTAATAGCAAGTAATAAAATTTTACTGTCTAAAAATGTTAAAACTAAAGATTGCATAATAAGTTGCTTTTACATCTGACCAAGACTTGCCTTAAAAAAATAATAAGGACAACGAAACATGGCGAAGAATTGAAACAAACTTACAGAGGTGCATAGACATTTTACTAAAAATGTCTAGAAATTTTAAAACTATCTATTGATTTTTAGATAATTATTTCAGATAATACGACATATTTATTGTCACAAGAAACTTATACAAACTAAAAGTAACAGTATATAATAAATAATTTAAACAACTAACCAAAAATATTTATTCCAAATCAAAATTTAAACCAAAAATATTTAATTATATATCCAAAATTAAGATGCAGGAATTAGCTTGAATTCACAAAATATCATTCCAAATGCTATCAACTCCTGCAACAACCGTTTTATAATACTATCTACCCTACATTAACCACCTTGCGTTGTTAATCACGAATGGAACAGTAAGCAGTTAGAAAAAAATTCAAAATGACATAAAAATAGACTGAATATGCAAACTAACAGCAACATCAACTTATTAATTAACTCTTCTTTGCCCTTCGCAGACTGATGCTCATGGTCAGTTACTGTTGTTGTATATGGCAATGGTTGCCGACCGAGAGACATCATTTAGATAGCGAATACAACTTTAAGAAGTTTATAATTAAGCTTTAATACTTGAGAAGACAACATGCTTCCTTTGAAAATTTCAAGAATATATATATATATATATATATATATATATATATATATATATATATATATATATATATACCTACATAATATACCTCTCTTATCTCTCTTAAAGAAAATTTTAAAGAAATAAATATATTAACTTTGGTTTCTAAGTATATTTACGAAAATTTAATGTATGTTCATAAAAACAAAGGTAGTTTTAGTTAAAAAATTGATATACGCTCTGTATATACTAGGAACAAACACAAGGTAGTGATACCTGTTTCTCTACTCCACAGAGTCAGTAATTCATTATTGGGGCAATGTACACAGTATTATAACAAAGTTCCAAAAAATTAACAATGTCTCTCTATTACCAAGTTTAAATAAACAAAAACTTTATATAAAAAGGGTTATTATAATATAAATGAATACATGGTTGATAATAAACCCTGGGAATGTGGCGGCTGCTTCCAAGCTGTTATTAAAATAAATTTTGTAATATTTTGTAACCATTCACATTGTAAAATTTATTTTTAAAAAGCCCCACGGGGTTCTTGTTGGTTCTTTCCAGGACAGAGGTTTTTGTCCGAACCAGTAGTGAAGTAAAAAATGACTCAGTTAGAATTACATGTAATCTATATAGATTAAAAAATGTTATATTCTATTATATTCTATCACATGGAAAACAAAATACCACATTATATGTAATTAGTAATCAGTCATAATTGAAACGTGTCTCGGTAAAGAACAGTTGTTCCTTACCCGTCGTTATATATAAACTATAGCAAACTGACGGAGTGCTGCCATTAAGGGGTGTTAATGGCAGCACTCCGTCAGTTTGCTATTATATTCAATAAAAATAAAATCAAAAAAATGTTTCGAGCAATTTCACACAATTGTATTTTTTTTAAGTAATTTTAACAGTACCAATATTCGTAAATGTACCATGCCAGACCTGTATAGAATATCTAGCATTAATAAATTTCCTTTTCATTATTCAATGGCCGCATACAAACGTGAATAGCAATCACCAAGCTGCGAAAGATAAATCACAATGGCGCAAAAATGATCCAAGAATTTCCGGCGT